CTTTTTCAGGTACATTCTTAAGGTAAGCTAAGCATTCTCTTAAGGAATGGCAAGTCTAGTTGAAATAAAGCGATTGCTTTTATGAGGGAATTATCTTTCTGTTCTAGGACAGATGTGTTTTAGTGGCACAACTGGTAAGCAAAATTGAAGCATTTGTATTTAAGTACTTGCAAGAAAGGGATGGTGTTTTTAGTTAGTGTTAGCTTTGAATGTTAGGCTGCTGATCTCCCAGTGAATTGCTGTACACTGTCTATCCATATTGACCTTCAGTATTCCCTGTTGAGATGACCCATTATCATTCTTCCTGTAATTAGTTTCTAAAGGTTATTTCCATCTCTGTGCTGATGTGAGTGAAGCATGTAAGTTTGCACCTGTTGATTTCTGACAATAGTGAGTCTTTTCCAGTAATGTTTCTAACTTCAGCTTTCATCTCTGCAAGAGACATGCAAGGATCGTTGGCAGCATCATATCTCAAAGGCTTCAGTTTTCTTTCTCTCAGCAGAATTAGCTTCCCACAATTTCTGTCTAGGGTTTCCTTTGGAAGTGATGGAGTTTTTCACCTGTCGGGTTTTCAAGTGATTGAAGATGTGGTTATTTCCAGATGGTCTTAAGGCAGGTGTAAAAATTGCTGAGTCAACTCCTGTAAATCAACATTATCGTGATTGAGCTTATTTTTTAATTTCTCTGCAATGGCCTCCTTTATTAGATTCCTATGTTCCTATATAAGTGAATTCAGCTATTGCATGTCAATTTGCCATTAATTATAAAGTTTCTCATCCTATTTTTTAAGTCAGTGCTTAATGTATGTTTCATGCTGGTTTTAATGACTGTATTTAATCTGATTGGGTTTGGCCATTTATTATTATAGAGCTTTGGGGAAAATACATTATTTTACCTGTGTTAAAATACTGCATAGGCAAGGAGACTGGAGGAAGCATCTAAGAAGAATAATGAAGTGCTCTGTTGGCTGCTCTGGTTGTCAGGACTTGGGAGGTCAGATTGTGAGTGAGATGCAACAAGACTAAATAATTTATATTTGATCTATACCTTTCCATTATCCAAAAGACAAGAAAGAAGTATTCTTATTTGTTTCTGGATTTCTGGCTGGGAAAATTGTGATTTTATTACTTCATATCGGATGTTCGGATCTCACCTAGGATAACTGCTGCTTTAGTAAAAAACGCTTCTCTACCCAGTTCCATGCAGACTTGAGATGGTTATCCTTATGGACTGCAAGAAGAGATCACAAAGAAATTCTATTTTTAAGGCTGGTGTGGAGGCACTTATTCAATTGCCATAGCAGACAAATGGAATATACCATCTAGCGTTTAATAGCTGGCAAATTCTCAGCTATGTAGTCCAAGTGGTATTGGAAATTCTACAGGTAATGTGGAGTTAAAGGATGTGACTCACCCATGTTTATGGTTTCAAAATCAGTTCTCTACAGCATGGAACAGCTTCACCCTGATCAGCCCTAATGGCAGTAAAGGGGACCGAATCCCTCCCACAGTGTGATTTTTAACAAAATTTGGTGCAGATAAGTTCATCAGAAATCATCAAAAATGGGATTCTGTTTGTACTCAGAGGAACCTATAAGATGATGCTTTTGCTCTGTGTCTCATTTTATGCAAAACAGTTTATTTTTTTAATTTCTTCTTGGAACATCTTCAATATGATAGAATATTTAAAGTGCATTTTTAAATAGTGGCTGGCAATCTGTGAAACACCATTTTAGCATGAATGAAATCATATGCTACTAAAATACTCCTTATACTAGGAAACTGAGATAAATTGAAAGTAGCACAGCTAAAAAAGGGAGGGCAACAGGTGTTTTATTAGACAGCAGATATCAGCTTTTTTTACATGTGTAGAATAACTGATACTTCATCCTAAAAATTGTTATAAATTTGCGTGTTTCTACTACTGAATATCAGTAAGTCGCACTGTTACTAATTTAGTGCATGTTCCTTTAAGGTGTTTTTGATGAATAAAACATGATACGCTCTTCTAGCATATCACCAGTTTCGTGGTACAGGATTGAAAGAATTTTGCTTGAGTACCAGGCATTTGATGACTAAGAGTATGCTGGAAAAGGGAACAAGGCAGGTTTTACTCCTGCACAAAAAACCTGCATTCTGTAATTACAGAGATGACTGTAAGGTGCATGTGCAGCCTGTTATAAAGAAGTATTTTTTGTGTTGCAGTAAATGGGAGAGTAATTTTCTTAGATACACAGATCTTAGTCACCTACTTAGTGAATAAGAGCAGTGTGATTTGCCTCTACCCAAAATTTAAAATGCTTTTGACTGTTAATTTGAGCAAGTCTCCAAAGTGAAACATCCTGGATGCCAATTTTCCCACTGTTTAAAACTGAGATCATCCCTAGTTTATTGCTGTAATTTACAGAACATTTTAAGATGTGCTGTTTAAACCCATGTTGTTGGGAGTTTTAGCACCATAGACCAAATAATAAATAGATGGTAAAATGGTTTCAGTAAAATTATTCAACCTGATGTTTCAAATTTAATGTTCTGTATACAGAATGCTGTAATATTCTCACATCCTAAAAATATGGTACCTTCCATAAAGTAGTAGTTTCAGGTGACTAATCATTGTGTAAAGCACAGAACTGATATTTAAATGCAAATCAGGGGCCTTTAGGTTTGTGCATTTTTGGTATTTTAGCATGATTCACAGCACACCCCTTAGGAATGTGCATATTAAGCAAAGGTGATTCCATTTTCTTTTGTAAAATGTATATAATAATGTAGATTTAACTAGAAACATTGACATTTTAAAAATATGCGTGCAATGAATACAAAATATAAAATGGTTTGAATTCAATTTGCAAATGCATATACTATTTAAACTGAGTACAACTGAAGTGTCAGTCTGGAAATGTGGAGTGTCAGAGCCATCTGGAAAACACACCCCTGGGCTATTCAGACATCATTTCTGTCCAAGACCCTTGCTGTCATGGCTATTGAAGATCTTGCATGTCTTAAGATTTTATGTAGAGAGCCTTTTTTAGGCTTTGCTGTAATGGCATGTAATGAAGGCACTCATGCTACCTAAATACCATCTGTCCATACAAAGCAGAAGAGGGTCTTACGATCTCAGGGACACCCTGACTCCATGGAAACTGAAGCAGAATATTTGTAGTGACTTTACTGGAGCCAGGATTTTCTGTATCTTCAAACAAATACTTTTGCAGTAATTGGATCTGGACCTGGAGATCAGTATCAACTGCTGATGTTATCGAGCAGTACTGGTGATGCTATTGAGCTGTAGAACATTATTTGCCATGGTTGTGATCAGAGACAAATCTCTCTTCCCTGTCATTCCAAAGGAGATATACAGGGAGGAACCCTCAGTCTTTTCAGGAACACATCAAGAGAAGAGAAAATGGTCAGTGTAGTCAGAATTGCAGTCCTGCTTTTCACAAACTCTTTGGGTGAGAGCCCATAGTCTGCCCTGAAATTACACTGCAGTTAGAAAGACGGCCTCACCAGATACCTAACTAATGGTGTAGCTGCCCAGGTCACTGCTGGAGAAAAGGCACTGTGGGTAGAATATCTTTGCAGTTTAGTCATTTCAAAGTATGAAAAGGTCTTTTGAGGCCACAAGGGCAACCGCTGGTTTCCTGAGATTTGCACTGATTAGATCAATCCTGGGCTAGGGCCAGAAGGTGAAAGGGTGAAGAAGGATGAAAACTTGACTTCAGACCTTCACGTCTCTGTTTGTCCTGCAGTCTCTGTGTCTTTGCTGAGCCAAGAGGCTCTAGCAATGTGCCTATACAGGAGATCTGGGTTAGAGACACCTCTATTTGGAATTTAAAAACATAAAATATACCTTAAAAACACATTTTGAAATAGAAAAGGGAGAGAACTCTTTTTCAAGCACACGACAATAAAGATACTCTGTGTAATCATTCTGTAACTCTCCAGTTTTCTCCATTTGTTCAAGTGACTGTGCTAACAGTCAAAGAAGTCATGTAGGCAGTACATGTGTGTGACACAGCTAAAATTTTAAGCTGAAGAAATTAACCTCTCTTGTGATACTTCAAGATTTATCTACTAATTGCTTGCCTGTGGCTTAAAAAAATTCACAAAAGCTATCTGAAATCACACTAGGAAATCCTCTGAGTTCAGTCAAATGTCTGATTTAGTCAGCTTCAGCTATCACTGCCATCACCAATGCATCTATAAATACATCTGCTTTCACAGCGTACACATTCTGAAATTTGCCCGTTGCCTCCTCAGAAGTGCAGAGCTATCATTGCTATTAGACAAGCCTGGCTTGACCAAAGCCAACATGAACCCAGCCTAACGGGCCAAGCCCATCCCTTGTTGTTAGTTTTGATAGTTGCTGCTATCATTTGATAGTTCGCTTGTAGCCTGTCCAAGTTGGCCGTGTCAGCCCAAGCTGATTGGAGCTGCAGACATTTTTGCTGACTGGAGTCATGCTATCTTTGCCAGTTTGCTGGAATAGACACAGACACTGATTGGGTCATGCTGAAAACATTCCTGTCCTATGAAGCAAGTCTGTTTGTATTTTAGGTTTGCCAGGACTAATGAATTAAAAATCTTGGGCTCGCCACAGTTTGCTGCTTAATAATGCCTGTGACAGAAGGATTTTTTCTTCACTGAAGCGTGACAGCATCATAATCCCTCGTCACTGGCAAGGAGAGGAAGGAAAGGTGGAATTGTGGAGAAAAGCGGAAAAGGGTGATCTTTTGGGACAGCAAAGTCTATGGGAAGTGCAGGTAGCAGCATGTTGCCCTGACAGCTGTCTCAGCTTCTCAGACCTTGTCAGTTTGTTGCTATGCAGCAGGTGCAGCCTTTTCTTTTATTGAAGCTTTACTCCATAAAGGCAACGACAAGCCAAGGCAGTGGCTGGCCCTGGATTATACAAGTGCAGACACTCCGCTAAGTGAGGTAAGGCAACAGGTGTGAAAACTGAACTAAATTAATAGAGCTGTAACAGCACCTAATCTGAGTTCTGCAGCAGGTTTTTCATGGAGAAGCAGCAGCCAGTTCTATAGGCAATTGTGAAGAAGAGAGCGGCTCATTAAATCTCACTAAATTCCAGGTTGCCCACTCACCCTCTGTCTACAGAGCTATTGTTCTTCATACATGGAGAAAGCAGGTGGGGAGCTGGGGGCAGTTGGTCTGTGTGTTTCCTGTATCACTTTGTCTGCACACAGGCTGCTTCCATCCCTCTCTGTTCTCTGTGACTGCTTTTTGTGATGAAGAACTTGAGGACTCTGCACAAAAAGGAGTGAAGGGATAAATGCAATATAAAAAAAAATGGATAGGAGGATAACTGCTGCATATAAAGATGAGATCTCTTTTTCTGGATTGAAATAAAATGAAAACACTTTTTTGTGTTATGATAGAATTCACCTTTGCGTATCTAAGGGGTATTGATTTTTGCCCTCATATATTAGATGGTTAAAAGAGGTAATTTAAAGACATCACAGACCACAGAGTGTGTGACTGGGATAAAAAAAACAAACAGATTTGCTCCTGGCAATAATTTTATGGCAAATTTAAAACCTGAGTAGAATGCATCATTTTCATTTCTCAGGCTATGATATGAAATGTTAAGTATACTCTTATGTGGAATACCACTTGAGATAGTAAGCAGATGACAGGGGACTGTGTACCAACAACACAGAATGATGAACAGCCATGTTTTAAGGATGTGCTTATCACTTTAAATCTCTTATTTTCTTTCTTTTTTTTTCCTTTGTACTGGCAGGTATGGAAGGGAAATATAATGAATTTTTGATTAGTAGTTCTGTTGTTTTTGAAGAACAATGAGATGTCTCAGATGTTTCTTATAAAGTGAGGGTCTGGGGGGGAAAATAGAGATCAATAATGCTCAGAAGGTAAAAATTATGAGTCTAATGCAATACATTTCAAAAGGGAATATTTCAGTTGACCCAAGGATCTTTTCCTGAGTCCAAAAACATACACTGTTGCAGTTTAGTTGACTTTTCTTTGTCTCTGCCCAATAGATACGAGTTCAATTTTTGTGTCTTGGTTATTAGAAATGGGGAATAAAGAACGATACCTAATATCCTTCATGTATTAGTAGAAGGAGACACTCTCAGCTCCAAGTAAGATTTATTTGAAGTAATCATTTTAGATTATTTGCTGTTATTTTAAGAAAGGATTATGTACTTCAAATAACAATTTATTGTGTAGCATTGCTACAGGGTAACCGTATCACTCTGCTAGCTAAATATTAAGACAGACAGAGGAAACACAAAAGAAATGCTGAAATTAATGTGCCAAATGCAAATTTGATACTCCTCCACTGATTGCAAGGCAGTGATGCCAGGGAACTGTTTGATTCACTTGTGCATCACCAAGGAAGACTATAACCCTGAAATATTGTTCTGTCCTGTTGACTTTCTGAGACTGCCAAATAAATAAGTGTAAATTAGAATGAGTTGTTTGGATTTCTGTGCAATACAATATCTACTTTACTGAAAAACTGCAAGACTGTTGGCTTAGGACACTGGCTTTTGCTTTCACTAGCTAAATGCTGCGTTGTCTATTGACGTGGTACAACTTTTAGTAAATTAATTGTATTTTCCTGAAGAATTTGGTTTATAATTGACTGAGGAGTTTTTATCTTAATTTGAAAGTGACTCTCATAACTGTCCACATAGTTGGTATGGATGCAATGCACTCTGGATAGCATAGTCTTCAGTCCTAAAATAATTTCTTTATGGGCAGATCTTTTTCATGCATGATGTCCCACTGACTTCTTGTTCTCCACACATGGAGCTAATCAGAAGATTAATCTCTGTGAATTTTAGCAGCTTTGTGCTAGATATACAAGGAGATTAAGCTTGCGTTTAGCTATTTAATAGAATTTAACCAAAACCAGTCAAAAGGTTAAATGTACACTGAGCTCTGAGTACAACGTTTGAGTGTTCAGAGATGTTTTAATTATACCATTACAGATCAGTAGTGGCTAATTTTTTTGTTGCTCAGCAATTCTTTTTGTTGCTCAGCTTGAAATGAACTAGCAGTTTTCTTAATGGACAGGGTTTCATCTCAGTAAAACTACTTTTTGGGATTGGTGGTCTCAGAAGAAAGACTGAGGACTGAATAAGGTCCTGATCCAGGAGTCAAACCCATGCAGACAGACCCCTACACCTGCACAGAGTTCCACTGAAGAATCACCACCAAGGTTTGGAGACCCAGTAACTTTCTGACCATTAAGTGTGTGACTATCAGGCACAGTTTGACTGGGGGAGTATGGGTGGAAGGTAGGAGGATGGGTGTCTCCTCATTGACACCATGTGGAGTGGTGTGCACGTTTCCAATCACATGGCAGGCTTGGGGTCATGTTACTCTCAACTCCCCACCCCTTCTTCCTTCTTCACCTTCAGAACCAGGCAGCATTGCCACGAGTCAAGGCTTGCTGAAGGGGCAATGGCGGGGAGCAAGCAGGTGAGGAGAGGGCAAGCTTCCTTTGCCATCGTTCTTTCTAATCTGTAAATAGCAAAAGAGAGGCAGTCTCAGCACTGAATTTCACTTAAATCCTTTTTAAATGGAAAAGTGAAATGGCGCTCCCTTGACTTTGATTCTAAACATTGCTTAGCTAGAATGAGAAAGATAGCTATGAATGCATGAAAAGCATTAAACCTCATTTGTTGAATGGTGTAACGTGTTCTGTAATAAGTATATTGTTTGTATTATTACAGCTGGAACAAACAAGTAAAAGCATTGACTCAAGTGCCCACATGATCACCACCGCCAGGGTACCTGCTGATAAACCAGTACGAATTGCCTTCAGCCTGAATGAATCCCCAGGTACAGTTTAATTTATGCAGTAAAGCACAGTGAAATGATTGCTTTAAAATTTTACGCGTTCTTACCAGTGTTTACAATATCAAATGAAGTCCAGTGTTACGCATAGATTTTTTTCCTAAGTGATAGCATGTGATCAGTTTTCCTGTCTGATAACTTTTAATGTTTCCATTAACAATTTCATTATACTAAACCCACGAGCCTGATGGTTTAGATCTTAGCTTTCTTTCAGTAGTTTGAGTAATATAATTTGGATTGTAATTAACTATCGAATTTAACTACATATGCGGTATGTCTGATTTTAAGGAATTTTAAAACAAAAAAAAGAAAAATGGCATGTTCTGCTGAGGATGATGCTAAGAGCACAAAGAGACTTTCCCTTCAGCAGGGAGGTTGGAAAGTGCTGCATGTGCCCAGCTTGATGAAAGGTTTCAGGAAACAGATGCCCCACATGGCATGTGCCCTGAGAAAGCATGAGAGATTTCATTGATGCTTATCCTGTCAGCTAGTGCTGATGGAGTATTAATTTCCCCAAACATACCCTGTACATACATGGATCCTTTCATCTCTGGAATAGATGGATATTATTAGTTTTCACCTTAAATATTATTGAAGTCTAGAGAAGCTGTTGCCAAACAGTAAAAGTTAGAATGAAATAAAGTAAATTGGAAGCTGTGAAGCATCCCAAAAAATGTTGCCTGTGCTGTTGCTAAAGGTGGGTGCGTGGACCCAGGGTTGGGATGTGTTTATAGCATGACATATAAGGATCTTTGATAACCCCAACTGAAACTTATTGCTGATGAGTGCTTTATGGGAGGGTATGCATTGCAGGATAATTGTGAGGCTGCTTCCTGAGCTTTGTATGTATAGTCTCAGTTTGAATACAGTTCTCTCATTTTGCAAGTATTTTAGAATATGCATTATCTTTCCTAGATAGTTGTTATGTAATATTAATTTGCAGCTAGAAGCCTGAAACAGGATCTTATTCCCTAAGCAAGACAATCTAAACCCAAATATCTTTATATATTGCTGCACATCAGTTTCAGCTCAGGCGTACTTGTGGCTGTGTGCCCATTTTTTGTAAATTAAAATAATTTTGTAATTACATTTTATTATAGAAAGTAATAAGGAATCATTCTTGTATTTCAAGACATAGTAACATGGCAAATTTCTCACAGGAATTGTGACAAAAATAGGTCTTGAAGAAAGATGTAAAAGAAAGGGGAGTGCTGTTACAAATTATGGAAAAAGAATGCTTATGTAAGATACTGAAAACAAGTCAGGGAAAGCTGAGACCATGGGAAAATCAAAGAGGGCAGGGTGATTTGTGACAAGAGATGGCGGTAGGAAATGACAAGGTTGTGAATAGCTTGGAAGAAGACGACATGAAAGGCAGGAAGCCTAGCTTCCTTAACATTGCATCATATTTTATTTTTTACTTTTCTATCCTGCTAATAATTACAGCCTTTCTTTAAACATTTAGAGAAATAAACTAAAATACAGAAAGCTAATCTTTTTCTGCTACAGTTTGGTTAAACTTTCCATAATTTTGAGTCCTTTATTGTATATATACAAGTGTTCCTGCAGTATGCAATCCAGAATCTGTGTGAGTACTGAGGAAACTAAACAGCAGCCAGTAAGGTGAGGGCCAGCTCCTCTGTATCACATCCCCTTGGGTTCTGTCAGGAGGTCTAAAACAGCATACTGTTTTACCATGTCAGAAAAATTCTGTTCTTGCTCTTAACAGTAAGCCTGAACTTGGTTATTACATTTGATATATCTAAAGAAGGCAAAGGAAAAAAACTTTTACCAGCTTTGAAAATTTCCAGCAAACCTTCGTTGAATCAAGAAAGTATAAATAAGTATTTAACACTTTATTTTTCAAGATGAGCTACAAAACCATTTTACAGATAGACCTTTAAGTATTCAATATTTGGCTTGTATTTTTTTGTTGTTCTTCTTGTTTTTTTCTCCTTATTTTTTTATATTTAATCTTTTATTTCTCCTTGACAACTTGTTTTCAGTTCAAACAGGAGTTACCTGCTGCAAGTGTGATGGTAAATCATCAGTTAAGGCTTGTGTACTGCTTTATATACAAAATGTTCTTCACCAGGGCTAAGTGGTGAGGCAATCTATCTGACTTAAGCTTTTCCTTAAATTCTACCTCACTTGAAAGGCACAGTAACAGATTCACCAAGAAAGGCTTGCATTCTCCTTCCGGGGGCTGTACAACTGCTTACGAGGAGGAACTGGCAGCATAACTGGATATAAAAAGGGGAAATGGAATGTTTCTTCTGGGTGCTGATTATCTCACTGGCTAGGATTGTAACCAAGCACTGGGTGTGAGGAGCAGCAAAAGGAGAAACTGCTCTCGACTCATGAGAAGAGATTAGTTTGTGTTAACTGACCTACAAGACTGAAGCTGGCTTATCCTGAGTATAAAAGAAATAATTTAATTGTGTTATATTATTTGCCAGTCAATATCTGATGACTGAAATCCTGGCCAACTTTGAGCAGGATTTTTAATGTGGAAGTAGGGTAACCAGTTCCTTAAAAGTCTCAGGAGCAGCCCATGAGAGGGTGCTATATAAGAAGACAGTTTTATTGTGTATCTCTTATTCAAGTATATATAGCTATTTATGTTTGGCTCTTTTACTCAGGTTCACTAAACTGGCATCAAACATAGGTTTCTCAGGGTGTGTCTGCACACTGTATTGCACCAGTTTGACTTAAGGTACCATTCTAATTTAATGAATTTCAATACTATTATTTCAGCCTACCTTATATCAGTGGAAAACTAATGCAAGTTAAACTGAACTTGGTGTTCTGAAATTTGAATGTTTTCCCAAATAGAAAATTCATTGCCATTTATCAAAATCAATTTAATTCAACAAATTCAGTGTGTCCTAATTTATATCACTGACTTATTTACTGAACATATTAAGATGCAATGATTATAACAGGAACTTTATTAATTTTAGAGAAGTGGATTTTTTTTGTGTAATAGTTCTAAAGGAAGGTTTATAGGCAAACATCTCTTCACTTTCCCTCCTAGAATAAAAGCTTGACTCTAGATGAAAGGTTCTGCTAATGACATGTGGTGATAAGTAATATCTTTTGTTTGAAATTAATCTACCTCTGATAGCACTCTCCAGAAAAATCACTGATAACAAAGGCAAAGCATACATCTAATGAAACTGCAGACAGTGGAATAATGAAATATTTTTGCAAGCATAGCAAATTACTTACTTTACTCCTCTTTATGCCTTTGTTATCCTAGTGACCATGAAGAATTTTTTGCTTTTACAGTTGATCATGCAAGACTCTTTTGCAATAGTTGCTTCTTCAATAGCAACCTTCAAATCCCTCTTCCATCCTCGTTTTGGTTGTAATGGCAACAGAGGCTTTCCAGTAGATAAGATACTGGCTGACAACCAGTGGGGATTGCTAAAATATGTGGCTAAAATGTGAAAAGCTAGTTTCCTAAAACTACACCCAGCCTACAAGTAAGGGGCTTGATCTTTGGGAAATTAGACAGGAACTTAAGTGAGATACCCTCAAAGGGGAAGTGGCTGCGCATTCATCAGACGATGCTTTAGGCTTAGGTAAAGGTATATGTAGTAGCAGGGTTTTGCTCTTGTATCTTCTGTTATGGGCATTTCTATTTTGAGAAGGTCCACAACTCTTATTACTGAGCAAGCCTTCATAGCCTGTTCCTAGTCAAGCAGTGACCATTCCCCACTATTTTACGAGTGAGGTAACTGTGAGGTTGTGTAAGGTCGTGTTAGGCAGGGCTGTGAATAGAAGCCTGGGAGCTTCACTCAGCAGTGCCAAGTCGCAGTCACTTAGCCACACAGCCTTCCAGGATGAATTCAATGAGTCTATGCTTGTCTGTCAGTAACTAGACTGGAGCTTCTGGATCTCACTGTCCTCCTAAGGCCAAGAATGGACCCCAGTACACAGTTTGATAGTGTTGTTCCACTGTGATTTGCAGTACTTGCAGTTGAGTTTGGGCACTTGCCCTGTGTAATAGCTGATCCACTTACAGGATAACAGCCTACTTATGTTACTAATTTAATTCTTTAATTTAGGAGGAAGAGATCTGAATACACTTACCCACGCATGTAGGAGAAAAAAATAGTACCTGATTGTATAATTAAAGACTGGATCATAACTCAGTTACTCAAGGAAGCAGAGCTGTCATTGGCATTTCCTAAATTTTGAGTGCTTGATTTAGCAACCTTAATATGCTTTCAACACATTTAAATTTTTATGTTCTATTTCTGTCTTTGTGAAGATCCTTGAGAAAATGTAATTCGCAGGTTTATACTGCAAGTAAATCAGCTGTTGTTCTTAAAGTATTTATTAACTATTGCCTGTATCCCACAGCTCAGCTAAATAGAGCAGCCATATAGGAAGAGACTGGGGTGTTACACTTAATTGTACCAGACATTGTGTTAGTCAGCAAAGTGTGAGGGATTTTACTCGTTTGTCTATGTGGTGGAGGTCTGGGCTATTGGAATCTCCAGAGGCCAGAACATGATTGAATAAGTGAAGCTTTCCAGAAAGTGTGATTCATTCTCAAATGTACATTAGCATATATCAGGGGATTGAATGCATCAGGGCATCACTGAAAAGTAGTAAGCCTTTTCAATGAAGACAGTCAGTATTAATACAGTACAGTCCTCTAAATCAGATGGCTTGTGTGGATCTCTGTACTATACATTAGAAACCCACCTCTCTTTTGTATTAATAGATACTGTCAGCAGAGAGAACTTACCTGGGCAGTAGATTGCTCCTCAAAGAGCACACCCAGTGATCCACACAGCTCCATCCCCAGATAGAGAGGAGGCAATGAAAAGAGACAAAAAGGAGTCACTTGGATGGGCAGAAGAGTCTTGTTAAGATGTTATGGTAGGAAATGAATGGGCTGGTATTGGTTGCAAAGGTGGGTAACATTCATTTTCAGGGAGGAGGCTCAGGGAAGGCCTTATCGCTCTCTACAGTTACCTGAAAGGAGGTTGTAGTGAGGGTGGTGTCAGTCTCTTCTCCAAAGTAACAAGTGATAGGTCAAGAGCAAATGACCTCAAGCTGTGCCAGGGCAGGTTTAGATTGGATATTAAGAAAAATGTGTTCACCAAAAAGGTTGTCAAGTGTTGGAACAGGCTGCCCAGGGAAGTGGTTGAGTCACCATTCCCAGAGCTATTTAAAAGACTTGAGGAGCTTAGACATGGTTTAGTGGTGGATTTGGCAGTGCTGGGTTAACGGTTGGACTTGATGATTTTAAAGGTCTTTTTTCAACCTAAATAATTCTATGATTCTATGACAGTGAAAATTGAGCAGCCTAACATTGCTGCCCTTACACAAAGGTGCCCATCACACCATTTAAGCATGAAGGAGAGTTGACTGGGCAGCATGCTTAGGGAGCTTGTTATTTTGTTGTGGTGTTAGTTTTGATGTAGGAATGGTCAGAGAGCTGGCTCTGACACAGGAGGATACTTTGTCTGCGCCCAGCTGATGGAAGGCAAAAGGAGGAAGTAATTTCCCTGGAGACCCTCCCTCAGATGCTCTCTGTTATAATGACAGACTTCAGGAACAAGCAAAATAGATGAATGAACCTGATGAAACAAACATAAAACCCAAACCGTATCCCATACACATGAACCAAGCCTTTAGTTAAAAAACTGTATATACAGAGTTCGTCTTGTAATTGGGGTACAGGTACTTTAATATACTTCTATATTTCAAAATTAGTTTCAGGATCTATGGGAAATCAGGAAGTGCTACTCGGAAATTATGCAACAGATAACTTTGACTTAGGTGGTTGTAATGACATCCCTGATCTCTTTCACATCATATGTTAGTGCTCTTTGCTTGGATGGCCATAACATTCACGTGCATGTTCTTCCTCCTTTCTTTTTTTCTGGTGACCAGAACCTTGATTCAGTTGCAGCAAATTGTAGTCTCTGAATTTTTTATATTTTTATTTTTAAACAAAATATGTTTTCAACAATTATCTTGAATCATTTTTCTTTATGAGTGACAGAGAAGGGAGCAGTAAAATAGTGACAGCAGGAGCTTCATGCTTTTTGTATCAGGTGAAGAATCAGCCTAGTTATTTTCGGAGTATTGTGAAACAGAAAAGCCACTAACTTTATTATGAAGGGAGTCTTTGATTATGTCAGTGATTCCTTATAACAATCAACTCATTAAATACTGCTAATAAATTGAAGAAGGAGAAAAAGAGCTATTTATAAATTCTGTTGTCTAAGGAGATGTAGAATAGAAAAGAACAAATATAGAAAGATGAAGAGATAATTATGAGAGTGTTTTGATCTTTAGAAGATCTTCTTTGATATTTCAGGCATTTTTAGTGTTTCTGATTTTCAGAGTCATAGTTTTTTAAGGCTGGAAGCCAGTGTGGTTTCGTCCAATCCCCTGCATAACATCCAGTGTTCAAGCTTGTAAGGGCAATAATGACTTTTAGGGGAAAATGCAAGACTTTGTATCTTTCCTCTTGACTTTCTGAAAATATCCTCAATAAAGTTTTAGGAGGTGAATGACAGCTGTAATTTGCTTTCCCCTTGTGTGATATATAAACATGTTTATGTTTTACCAAGTGATTTTTGCTGTTATTGTTGTGGTTGTTACTTTGACTACAGTGAAATCCAGACTGACCTGATGCAGTAATTTATTTTCACTGAAAGTTTTTCTTTTTGGGGAAAGAAAGATTGCAGTTAGTTTTGAGAATTTGTTAGTTTTTGTAAGCTAAATATTTCAGCTGAAAATTTCAGAGTAGCCTAAGAGAATTAGGAACTCAAAAAAATTTCAAACCACTGAAGTCCTTGAATTTTCTTGATGATGTTCTACACATCAGACGATGATTTAAACAAGTCTTAAACTAGCATAACTAAAAAAAAAAACCTCTAGCAGCTGTTCAATGGATGCTAGGGCAGGCCCATTATAAAATGTACTATGGTATGTCATAATGGTTAGGATACCAATATGTTCTATTTTTAGTACCATTGACTCAGTCACTTGGAGCTCAAAAAATAAGAAGGGAACATCTGTTTATTGAAAGGATTTCCTCTATAGTAATTTCTGTTTCCATCCCATCCTTTTAAAAGTATTTCCAAACATTTCTCTTACTGGTTCTCTTCCTAAGATAATCCAATATATTTTTAATATTCTGACACTGTATTAATTTTGATTTCTTGTTAATATCCAGTGCAGTGAAAAGCTAATTTTTGGCTGATATTTCGCTACAATTTTTGAAGTTGATTTTGCTTTGTTTTTCTTATGTTAAAAATGTTTGAGGTCCCTCCTTAAAGCTACTGTACCGAAGACTGTACTTCTGGAATTGTCAAAACAAATAGCAGCTTAGCTGCTGTGGACACAACTCTGGTCCAATATCTCTGTCAGAATATTTAACAGCTATTCAGCCAAATATTTGTAGAGCAGCTGTACCCTTAGTCAGACTGAGCCCTATTCCATCCTTCCTTTTAACCTTGCCGTATGATTCATCTTTCTTCTTTTAGAATATTAGTCTATTTTTGAATTTTGTGAAGAAAGCAACAGCAAATTAAAGGTAAACACATATCAGTGTGTTACAATTCTATACAATTAAAACAATTAAAGTATTTTCCAGAATGGACATGTTTGTGACATGGCATAAAAAATGAAGTGTGTGGAAGTGGGTATGACTTCTTGATAATACTAGCAAAACCTCTATCCCGTGAAAATATAGAATTTCACTTTGTTTCCTGGGGAAATTCAAGAGCTTTTGTTTTCTTCCTCTGTATCACTGTAGGGTTTTTTTTCTTCTCTAGGCCTCTCCCCAGTTTATTCTTCATAGGGTAAGGTGAATTATTTTACTTTTTGTCCTAACCTGCTTTGCTGTATGACCACTGAGGGTAGGAAAAACAGAAAACAAGTATTTGACAGATAATTTAAATCCTAGTCTGTATTCTCTAAGAATATGCAGAATCCTGCTTTGATACATGGTAATCTTAATCTTGTTCGGGGTTTATTGGTGTGTGTAAATCTGCCAGCACAGAGCAGGTTGCAGGATCTGACCTATGTTAGCAATTTTCTCCTATGAGAGCCATCCTTATTTAATTCTGACACATTACAAATAACTGTAGTAGGCTTGCTAATAGTAACCTTCTCTTGGCCTCCCGTAACCTGTAGTAAGATGCATAAACAGTCATCACAACCCAGTGCAAAACCGATAGTGTGAAAGTCACTGAGAAAGAAATATTGCAGTGGCTAGCTGTGACGCCACCGAGTATGATTCATATTTCTGATCTCAGTCCAGCTACTAGTGGGCAGGTGTCCACTTCACAACACTGATGTAACTGGCACAGTCTGTCCCACCTTTGCTGGAAGCCTGTACTAAAAATAAAGAAATAAATAAAAACACAGATTGGTCTGTTGTCATGAATCAACTAACTCTAGCTCATAAGGATTGTTATCTACAGGTTAAAGGCATTCCTTTGCAGTACAGAGAAGTTTGTGGTACCTCCCCCATTCTGATCACATCTGTATAGGTAGCAGTCTTCTAGTTCCAGGGTTGCCAGGCTGGTTTGTGTGTTCTTGGGGTTGCCTTTGTGTAGTAAGAGAAAAGTTTTCTGTTACTGTTGGGTTAGCCCTGGTAAGTCATTGTATTGTAATGGGGAAGATATCTTTCCCTTCATTCAAGTGAATGAGCACTTTGGTAATAAGGATGATGTCCCTAGAAGATTCTTTACTTTGCGATGTAATAGAAAGCTCAGGAAGAAAGACTGTTTGTTTAGATTCATTTTTCTTATTAAGTTATCACGTTCTACTGTGTTAACTGGCTTTGTTTAGGTTTTAATGACAGCAATACAAAGTAGGCTTTTGTCTTTCCATCACCTAAACATTTACTTATTGCCGACGCATTAGTACTTTCAAGGAGCCTATTGGGGTATCTGTAGTGTAGAAAGATAAGCAGATGCTGAGGTGTTTGCAGGATCACAGTATTATTGTGAATACATGCAATGTAGAACAGCATTAGACAGGTCATGTGAAATGCCCTTTTCAGCAGACATTGACTTTTAACATCATGTTTACCTTTTAGATGATGCTTCCTCTGAAAACTTCCCTCTGACATTTCCAGAACTAGATCAGCAGCTGCAGGTAAACCTTTTCACTACAGTTCTTCACATTCACTATATTTGTTATGATAAAAAACCTCCGGTTGCTACAGTAGAGTGAAAGTGGTGCTTCTCTAACCTGTTAATATTTAATAAGACTGTACATTTCCACAGAAAAAAACATTGTCCTTTCAAGATCTGCAGAACAATTTATATGACATTTATAATCCAGTTGTAGGGAGATGACTATTTTAACATTCTCACCTGCCTTTTAATTTTTTTGTACAATTCCTGTATAAAACACAGCAGGTACTGCTGTAATGCAGTGAAAGTTCTTGTGGTTTTGATGGGAGAAGGAATGAGCCTACTTCTCATGCCTACAGACTGGGCTAAGACTGGTGTGACTAGCTTTCTCTGAAGCACTCCAAGAGAGTGCAAAGGTGCCTTTTGTAGTGCTTATCTCTAGTCTTGGGTGACTAAAGCCAGTCATCAGGATCGGTAAGAGTCTTCTCAAAGTTACTTTAGTTCATGCTGCATAGCCAGCAACCCTAACTGTTGCTCTAGCAAGTGTCTGCAGACAGCACTGGATAAAAGTGGTGAATCTCTTTGTGAACAGTCCGATTTGTCACTGCAGGACAATAGAGCGTGGGTATACAGGACAATCAGATGGCAGTTGATGGCAACTCTATGGTTCACTAGGCACAGAGCCAGTTCTGTATCCAGGGATTATTTCCCTTTCCTCTGTGGCGGTTCTGGAGTGCTTGTTGGCTTTTGTAAACTACTTCAAATCATCTGTTTCCCAGGAGCATTTAGACTTCCTCTAATATTTCAATATGAACACAGTTGTTTCCTGAGTGTAAACTGAGAAAGGCATTAGCAGACGGTGTTGTCCAATAATGTCATCCTTCCTGTCCTCATCAACTCATGAGACAACACTGGAGGGCTGCTGATTTAAAGGACTGACATCTCTCCTGTGGCTCTCATCAGAAGGATGACTGAGGAAGAAATGGAGGCTGACATAGAGTCTTCTTGCTCTATCCCTCTAATACTGAGAATAGGGGCAAGTTCCTTAGGTGTAACTAGGAAAGATTAAAGGAATAAATAGCAACCTAAGATCTGGCCTGAAAGGAACAAGGTGGTATGTTGTTCTTTTAATTCCACTAATCTTTCAGTGCAGCAATGCAGATTGATACTCTTTTTCCCTCAGAAGCATTAAATTTGAGAGAAGCAATATTGTTTTGTGGCTGAAGCACTGAACTGAAAGAACCTGCATTCTGTTTCCAATTCTGTCAGCGACACACTGTGTGATCCTAGAGGAGTTGCTTCATGCCTCTCCTCATCTCTGAGATGAAGTTAATACTTTTTATCTTTTTTGTTAAAGAGCATTGAGTTCAGTGGGTGAAGAGTGCTCTAAAAGAGAAAAGTATGATTTCATTACTGCTATTGGTATATAAAAACAAGATTAGTAGTGTTAGATGTAGATACTTTACAGGCCAAGTGATGATTTTTTTTATGAGGACTTTTACGACCCATCTCTTCAACATATAATGTACTCTAAATGTGCAATTTCATGATAGACTGAAATTGATCCTCTGGAATCATTCAGGTCTGCTGGATAAATAATAGCCATTCTTTCACAGTTTTTGAAGTATGCATTACGGCAGTTCCACAAAGTACACTCTTGTCTGTTAAGTGCCTGACTTTTTTTTCAAGAGAACCTTCCTTTATTCTCATATCAGTATGATTCCAAATTCAAACAAACAGTCAAAGGCTTTGATTCAGATAATGTTCTTTATATTATCCTTCAGAAACTTATTTGGTAATACTGAGGTAGTTGAAAGGATAACTTAACTATCTGGCTGACTCAACCACTCAAAAGTATAAAATTAGTGGTAGTGCTTCATTTTTTAGCTTTCAAGCTTATTTGCGTATTTAGGTTTAGATGCCTTTATGTTCAACCAGAGACAGTTAAGTCAATGTAGGGTTCTGAGCTGGTGCAGAGGTAGCTTTAGCAATGAAAACTTGAATTTTTTTAAGTTTTGTCAATCTGGGTCACAGCTTAAATTTGTAACAATTTAATGTAATTACATTATATTTTAAAATTTTGAACAAGCAATAACTGTAAACAAAATTAGGATTTGCCTAGTTACATTTTCTTATTTTTTTAATTTATTTATTAAATTTATTATTTAATTATTTTTTTTTAATCCAAACTGCTAACTTTGTGTCAGCCCAGTATAGCATATAGTTTCAATTTATGTTAACGTAGCCACACCAGCTTTGAAACAGGTACCTCTTGTATTACAGAAGCAAACTACAACATGGGCTTCCCTTGTCATTCTTCCCATGTCTTTCTCTGTCCCAAAGTTAGCCAGTATAAAGTAGCATACATGAAGTGCCATCTAAATGAGCCCTTTAATCAATTGTGGCATAGCAGCCTGAAATGCTTGAATTTGTAAGAATGATGGTACATATTTTCGTAATAGAAATATGACATCTAGAATCACAAGATTTTCATCACTGTACCATAAATGTAGTCAAAAGCATTTGTATTTTATTTAAAGTAACAAACTGTAAGTGCGGGGTAGGTAGCTATATAATAATAGACATAAAAAGAAAAAAATATAAATTCCAGGTTTCAAACATACAAAGGAAATTTTTGAAACATGATTTAAAACAAAACAAGCAAACTAAAAAGCCTGCCTTTAGGTTGGGTTTTGAAAGCAGCTTGAAAGCTATGTGCATTCACTGAGGGACTTGGAAAATCAGAGCCTTAGAATTTTATGTATGCAGGCAGCAGACCACAGCCTGAGTACCAAGCAATTTGCACCTCTGTTTTAGGTTTCAAGCCCTTGTCCTCCTATGTTTGGCTCTGGCAGACAACTTGGCTGTTTGAGCAGAATTACCTAGTGTTCCCACTTTTCCTACCACGTTCCTACCATACCTACTCCCTGGGCACTGGTATCCGATGGCAGGGCAAAGTTCAGTGAAGCCTCCCCCTGACAGGGTAGTAAAGCCTGCTGTCCAAGCGCCAGTGCCAACTTTATAGAGGCAAAGGTAGGACTGGCCAGAGAAAAGGTATTTCTAGGAGGCTAGCTACAAATAGCTAATTCTTTTATAAGGTCTCTTACTGGAGGACAATCCTGGTTGGAAGTTACAGCTTCTTGCTGAAGCATAAAAATGATCAGTCTAGTGTTCTGATCTACTAGCTAGGTTCAGACCAAAATGTTGTCTTCTCCAGCTACCTTTTCGAATGTTAACATTTTTCTCCTACTCTGAGAGGAAGAAATTCCAATAAGCAATTTGTAAGAAAGTAATATCAATTCGCTAACTCCAAAAATTTGCTTTTGGTTTGTTTGCTGGGTTGTTTTTGTTTGTTTGTTTGTTTTGTTTTATTCTATTTTATTTTTACTTAAAAATTAATGCGTGGTCAACCAGACAGTTTAAGCTATATGAGGGAAAAGCCTGGTCTCTTTTGCAGCTTTATTATTAAAAAAACTCCATGAAGTTGTTCATTACATGCTACCAGTGAAGCAATGCTCATATTAATAAACTTCTTGCTTTTGTTTGCAGTATTGGAAATTATTCTCTTCCCACTGACAAGAAATACTTTGAATGAGATTAAAACACTTGCATATTTGGGCTTCAGTGTCATTTCTCCCCATCCTTGTTTGAGCAGTGTGGTGGGTGGTGCAGGGCGGGTAGGCTTGCTACATTTGTCAGTTTGTTATTGGGAAACCTTAACCTTTGCCTTGTGCAAAAGTAAGACTGGGCATTGGAAAGTGCTTCCTTGATTAGCTGCATAGTCAGTGGTGGCCCCTGTAACAGACACTCTACTACGGGTTATCTACTATATTTAGACACCTACATCAGCATCTAAAGCTCACTGTTTATGTCACTGAATATAGAGGAAGGTACCTAGTGTTAAAACACCCATATTACTATGCCCTGTATGCCGTGCTGTTCCAGCATTTCCTATGACTTGCTCAGTTCATCTCCACCAAAGTCTTTATTCCAGCTGGGAGTTTGATCCTGAAGAGGGAAGAGCACAAGTCACATATGGATGCACAGGGTGGTCTGTAGTTCTTTGTCATCTCTTCTCATGGAATCATGAGATTGAGAGAGGCCTTTCTGTCATATTTTGTATTACGATTCTGTTGAGGTCAGTGGGGTTAGGTGGCTGTAAAATTGCTGCAACAGAGAAAAGGCTCCAACCATTTATAATATCAGTTTGTTAAGGGGTAGTTTTTGATGCTTTAGTGGGAAATAGCTACACAAAAGAAGCAAGGAAAAGGTTATGAAAAGGACAATTTATTGTGTGTGATACAAGCATTTAGCAGAAACCTTGTTTACTCTGAAACTTTAATAATGGAACTGTTGCTTCTACTGAATGCCAGGATTCTTGCTATATGCATACAAATTAGCTTAGAAAGTTTGAAAGTATATTCTGTTTTTAAAGAGTATACTGTATTTTTTAAATATGTATTAAATTACAAGAGAATTCCCAGAGTACTGTGGTGCTCTATAATTAGATTTGATTTCCTATGAACTTGATAAGTCTCCTGTAATGCTGCTGTGATAACTGTGATCTTAAATTAGATTATGTAAGACATGAATATTTACAAAGTAAAAGCATCACACTAAGGTTAGAAAAGAATGGAAAATCTCTCAAAAAAGTAGAGCAAAACCGTTAGTTTCTCACATCCAGTTGACTTTCATTGAGGAAAGAGAACTGCTTACTTTCATGGTAAAACTAGACTAGACTAAATATATCCTAGACTAGATACCTAAAACTAGTTGAAGAATTCCTGTTGCACAACAAAAAGTAGCTGCAATATACAGCTATAACTTTGGCTTGGAATAATGTGGTTTTTTTCATCATGGAAGAGTATATGAGGCCATGTAATGCACATAGCCACATGCAAAATATTGGCACTGAACTTTCTGGTTTTCCAGACTAGTCTAACTGAAAATCACCAAACTTACAAAAAGTGAGTCCAGTGCTGAAGGCGGTCTTTGAAATGAGTCCACATGCTCAGCTGTAAAAACTGCATGATGCAACTTTTTCTTTGAACTTTAACCTTTTCAGGAGAAAGTTTTTTTCTTTCCCCACAGTACAACCAAAATGTAAATGCAAACAGGTGAAGGTGAATTAAAAACATAAACCATATCAGAGTTTTTAAACACTTGGGTGACACCATCAACTATGCAACTTCTGTGGACATGTAATGCTGATATTCATGTGGCAAGGCAAAACACACTTTGTCATGGGAGTGGTGAAGCAAAAAAATTGGTGAAAACTCTCATTTTGTATCCCCCAACAAAAATTTAATTAGAACAGCTCCTTCATCCTTTCTTAAGAAACAGGCAGAACTGCTCAGGCTCTTTCTAGTTCTTCATGAACTGCCTTTGCATCATCTTCCCACATCTTTCATACCTGGATTCCAAACAAAAATCTAAATAAACCACGCATATGTCTTGTAAAGACGTACATAGATATGTGCAGTTATGAATAGCCTATAACAGGATCTCTTAGTGTCTACTTGCTGGATTCTGTAGAATGTTTGTCAATGTCATAGGGAATTATTCAACAAAATACAAGGAGAAATCAGGCGTTGTTGAAAATTGGGAATAGTAGTATAGAACACCAGTGTGAGTGAAAACTGTAGCTTTTTTACTAACTTGGTGAACAAAATCAGAGATGCTGTGTGTGCATATTTTGTCAGCACAGGAAAATGAGGGTGGATGACAGTGAAGCCTGAAATAAGCAGGATTAGAAGTAGCAACTGTTACCATTAAATATAACTTTCTTTGGCAGGGGTGTTTTTTGCTTATGTAGCAGGTATGCTTTTATATATATTAATTTATGGATGGGCAAGATACTTCATGAAGTAACAAGCTTGGGCTGTCCTAAGGAGAAATGTAAGCAAGACTGTTAGCTCCTGAGTGAAAAAAATATATACTGCAAATTGAACTTTATTAAGGACTTTTGTAATTAGTCACCTCGATAAACTAGTGAACTCAAAAAAAAAAAATTAAATTACAGACTTCATAGATGAAAAATGCTTTCTGCTGGGAATTCCAGTTATCTGCCACAGGAATGCCATCAGGGTAGCATCTGCAACACTTCCCATGGCCTGGCCACAGGCATTCAAAAAAATCATTCCAGGTAGAACGGAAGTTGCTGGGGCAGGTCCAGAAAAGGTCAACTGATCTGGTGAAGGGTCTGGAGCACAAGCGTGATGAGGAACAACTGAGGGAACTGGGATTGTTTAGTCTGAAGAAGAGAAGGCTTAGGGGGACCTTATTGCTCTATACATCCACCTGAAAGGAAGTTGTAGTGAAGCGGGTTTCGGTCTCTTCTCCCAAGAAACAAACAACAGACAATAGGAAACAGCTTCAAGCTGTGCCAGGGAGGTTTAGATTGGATATTAGGAAAAATTTCTTCACAGAAAAGAGTGATCAGGCATTGACACAGGGTGCCCAGGGAAGTGGTGGAATCATTGTCCCTGGAAGTGTTTAAAAACCATGTAGATGAAGCTGTTAGTGACATGGTTTAGTGGTGGACTTGTCAGTCATGGTTGGACTTGATAACCTTAAAGATCTTTGCCAACCTAGTTGATTCTATAATTCTATGATTCTATGAATGGGGATCAGAGAAAGACTGTTTGGATAAGCTAAGGAGAATAGAAATTTCATCTAGGATGCTTAGAGGAATGCAGCTTTGCCAAGACACAGGTCTTGGAAAGTATATGAGAACTCTCTGTATGTACATCTCAGTGGTAAAACACATAGGACAAAGACCCACCGTTTGAATGAAATACAGTGTTGGCACAATAAAAACACTTGAATGAAATATAGTGCTGGCACCATTTGAATGAAATTTAGTGCTGGTATAATACAAACCTATTTCAGGAAACCCAAACTGGAAATGATGAAAATGCTTGTAATTCTTGGTGAGGCTCTGGGCCAGTCTTACAACTGGGCAGGGGACTTCAGTTTTTCTAAGAACCGGGCAAGTGTGTGAATGGCAAGATATGCTTCCGATAACAGGGGACCAGACTTGCTGTTTTTGCAGGTTTCTCCCATTTCCATTTAGATGATATAGGTTAGTCCAGTAATTGTTACTATTCTGTTACTATTTTCTTTTCTGTGGAAATATGCTAATTCTCTAAATGTCTGCTGGCCAGTTGGAGTTACCCCTCCAACAAGCAAAAAATAAAAACAAAAATAAGTTTTGCCTCTGTTCCTGAATTTGTTCTTCAGGAGTTTGCCCTGCTGTCTTCTGAAAATGCTTCTCTTAGTGGGAACAGATGTATCATTAATTATTTGCACTTTTGTTTATGTCAAAAAAATAGGCTATTAGACATGGGTAAAATAATTTATCTGTGCTTTTGTGTTGGCTTGAATTTTCTGGTGAGCAGCAAAGAAGCGACCAGATTTCCATCTCTTTTTCTTGCAATTGCAGTGGAGGTATTTGCTAAATAATGAATATATAAGCCTGTTCCATGTTCTGCTGGCCAGAAATTACTCAAACTGTAGGTACTATCTTCAAAGCTTTTCTTAGAAATTTCAAAATTAAAAAGCAGCAAACCAAATTGCCCAGTCGTACAGAAACATAATCAAAATTACATTTTGATGTAAAAATACACCCAAATTAAAAAAAAAAAAACTTGATATAGAGAATTTTATGAACAGAATATTAGTAAACTGATTGTATCTTTTCTTGTCAGTTTATTTTGAGTGATAAAATATCAACGTATGAAAAAAAGACACTGAAGAGGGAATAATGATAGGAAGGGGTTTGAAAGTCAGCAACTGGTCTAAGTGGGAATTAGATACTAAGTCTCAGCATGGCTAGATAATTTTTAGCTCTCTATATATATCATTTGAGTGGGAAGCTGGAATATAGAAATTGAATGCTGCTTGAATTTTTAAACTGGTTTAAACCAGCTAGATATGCGGAAACTGAGTTGGAAGCAAAAGCAAGATTTTTTTTTTTTTTTTTCTTTTGAAATATCACTATTTGGGGACTTTCCCCAGGGTTACTGTTCAGAATTGTTTTATTGTGATGCATTTGTTTGTTTGCTGATCTGTGGTAGATACCAGAGATGCTACTTTGGCTCACCCTTGCATTCTTGGATTAGAGCACTGAGACTTCTATATTCTGTCTTGTTAAATTTATGCTTATTATTTGGGTGGCTATGTGAATGGTGCTATTGCTCATCCACATTGAAATGCAATTAAAAGCCCTTTCCTAAGGACCAGATGCATCAAGTAACAGACTGCCCTTTCCCTGGGTTCCCAAAATCTCCAAGCTCAGAGAGAATGAAACAATACGCTGTGAAACAGTTCTGCCACAGCAATTTCACATTTCAAACATGAAAGTGAGTGTTTGTGTTAAAGTTTTGGTGAGGAACCACATGCCATCTGCAAGTACTTGCAAGGTCCATGCATTAGTTACATCTGTGCATTACGGTATGTCTGAAGCCAACTTACCCTGCCTCCTGGATAAAAATAGTTTTAATCTTTGTCTCTGAATATGTTTAGTAAAATTTCAATTTCCGGTTTAGTTAAACAAATGTTTACAAGATCATACATACGAAAAGTCTGGAGACTTGCGCTTTCCCTAACAATGTCATTGAAGGAATATTACACTACAGAGAAGAGTCAAAGAAGGACAAGAAGAAATAAAACATAATCTACTTATATTGCAAAAGGCAATTGGATGTTATTTAACTGGACAGTAAAGAAACTATTTTAAGTGCTTCCTTTTGCTTCAGACAGGTGGCTCAAGCATGCTATTTGAAGTTCATTTACAGTCAATTGATTCATGGCTAATAACTTAAAAATACTACACTTCCTGAAAGTGTTACAGCCCAAATGTGACAGTCAAGCCTGAAACCTGAATTAGGTTCCTTTTTAAGGATCAAAAAGCACTGACATTTAACCAAACCATATTTTTAAGATCTTGGATGAAAATCCCAGGACAGAGAGGGTTTATTTGCTATATTTATTACTTCCAGCGTGAATTATAAAAAAAAATTAAAATCTTGCTTCAGTAATGTTGGTATTTAGGTTAGGAGGTGTGGAGCTTTTGCCTTTGCTGTATCTTTTTTTATCTGTTTGGTTTTGGGGTTTTTTTGGTTGTTTTTTTTTTAGTTGATGCATCTTTCTGCACTCAATCTCACCTGCACTTCTTATGGAAATTCAAAACACTTTGCAAATATTACTGATACAGCTCTCATGACATTTCTGCTAACTAAATATATCCCCTTCTTCTACAGGAATTAAAGATGCAGAGAAACTCAGTATGTTCTTGAGCAAACTACTTGCGGCTTGAGGCATTACTGGGGTAGAACCCATCATGAAATCCTGGCTCCACTGGAGTCAGCAGTGTAACTCCTGTTGAGTCAAGCAGAATCAGCCCCAGTGTCCCAGTTCACGGTCCTGTCCTGTTTAGTAATAAAGTGGAATAAGCATTGCATCTATGAAAAAAAGAGTGTTTAGTCAATAGCTTTCCAAGTCTTTTCTTGCCATCTTGCAGAATTGGAGAATAAGAGCTAGTTTGCACTCAAATTACCCTTCTACTCAGTGCTGCAGTTTCTGCAGTGAAAACACATACATATTTTTTCATGGGTCTGATCAGTGCATCAACTTTAGCAATCTTATATCACTGTAGCTGAAAAACTAAGGGAGAAATCTTTCTTTGAACAATCTTTTGGGATACTTTGCAAAGTTGACAAGGGAAGTCCTGAAAATCCTTACAAGGTTTGAAGGTTTATGCATATTTTTATGTGGGGAAGTGTTTTTTCCCCTCCATGAAAGGCAATCACTAGGAATATTTGTCTGTATCCTGCAGTTGTGAGGTGAGGGGAAATTTCTGTAAGTATTCTCACAGGAATTAAGATAATTATTGGATCTTTCAAAGTGGATGTTTTTTCCAAAAATTTCATTTAAAAGCACTATTTTCTTCTTCTTCTTCTGTTCTTAAAGCCACTGCCTCCTTGTCATGACTCTAAAGAATCTATGCAGGTGTACAAACAGCACTGCAAAATAGCAGAAGAGTACCATGAGGTCAAGAAAGAAATTGCGCTGCTGGAAGAAAGAAAGTGAGTCATTTTCCAAAAGTATTTACTGTTGTATATTCTCTTTGTAAAATCCTGTTTTAAACATGGGGGTTTCATGTGATATTTTCTGACCTTACACCTCTGCCTGAGAGTCACTGGGCCCTCAGTTATACAGATGTCCCTTGAAACCTCGATTGGCAGCCTACAAGTCACACCAATCTAGTTCAGCTGGTGTGAGCCCTCTTTTTAGTTTTAGGGAAATTTCCTTCAATTTAGCTTTACACATTTTAATGAACTATTAAGTTTAGAGTATTTGACAATATTAGTGAACATTTTTCTGTTTACTAATAGGTGCATTGTCTCTGTGTACATTAAAATTTTAGGTGTTCATATCCAAAGTGCAGAAGCTGGAGACATTGTCTTGTCTGTGACCTATACTTATATCCCTGTCATCTTTGCATGACTGTTAAATGGCAAAGTGTGCTCTGTGATTTTCAGTCCCTTTGCACAAGAAACCTGAAAAATTAACATATAGAGAGGAAAGATGGTGAGTAGTGGAAGTTTTTAACAGGCAACAAACCCCAAGTAATAACAGTTACTGCTAAGTAAACTTTCTCTTTCAAATTCTTTTTAATTTTCACATTCACACTGAAGGTGACTCTAGCAGTTTTGCCTTCCTCAGGGAGTTACCTCAGTCTAGATCTCAGACTTCTTGTGAAAATGAAGACCACATCATCATTCTTTCAAATGCTACTTGAACAGAAACATTTGTAATACAGCAACAGGGGTCAAAAGAGCTGTGTTACAGAGTGGGCTTTTGGACCACTGTATCTGTTTCATAGCAATCTTTGTACCAGCTGACCATGAAGTACATCCAAATTTGCATCTGTGGGAGTATTGAGCTGCAGAAGCAAGCTGATGGGAGGGAAACTGATGAAATCCTGTACTCATAGAAGTAAGACAGCCAAAGATGACCTTGAATCCAAACTATGCAGGGTAAGAAAGTGAAGCTTGTCTTTATCAGGGTTGATGGCTACAGGCACAATATAGTTAGTTGCCTAAAGTGTTGGAACTAGTTAAGGTTTCCCTCTACAAATCCCCTTCCACTGTAGGACCTTTATGATGCTCAGTTGCTGACAAACTGGCATGAAAGTTAGAAAAAAACATTGTCCCAATGTTTGCATTTGATTCATCATTAATTGAACTTGACCAATCAAAAGTAATTGGTGTTTTTAAAAACCTGTAGAGAAGATAATTAATTAAAATAGTTTTACAATGATTTGTCAAATTTGATTGTCTAATATCAGCTGCGTACGTGTGTATTTAGCAACCACATTAATTCAGTGGAAACCATGTATGTTTGTCTTCTCTGAAAATCCAAATGGACTATAAAATACTAACTGGCATTAAAGTGCTTAACTTTTGATGTATAAACTCAAAAGGTGACCTTAGATCATTTGGTTTTTAGAGTCTACTAAACATAAATGCATTATTATTACTGACACATCCCTGAACCAGTTGTCACATTTATGAAGCTTGGAGCCCTTGAAAACTAGACTCACATATATATTTTTGCATCTAAAAGAATGAAAAAAAATACTATGTGAATGCATTTTTTTTAATCTATGGAGTCTGTGTTACTTGCTGAATTAGAAGTATTTTACTCCTTGGGAACGGCAGATACATGCACAAAACTGTTTACCTGACCTCAAAACTACCCTAATCAACCTCTGAGCCCAGAAGTCAGCCTCTCAGCAGTGGTTATCATGAATTTAGGGGCTTCAGGCTGGCATTTTCCCTAATTCCACCAATGGATATCAACAGTCAAATAATGTGAGGAAGCTTCCACCACTGCTTCCTTTGCAGAACCTGTTCTGTGGATAGAGGATTTCATGCCCTGGTAAACATATGTTAAACAAGGTTGGCTGAATAAGGCAGCAAATAGAATTATATTATTGTGATTTTTATGTGCCTTCTAATTATGTATCTATGGCCTAGATACTCACATGCTGTGCAGCTGTGAAATGCCTAAACAAAACTAATACCAGTGCAGCACCTTTTACCACCTTCCAAATCTCTTAATCTGAAGAAGTGGTCCTTCAGGCATTGGGAAGCTTTTTTCCTCCAGATGTAAACTATTTATGACTCCTCCCTCCAAGCAGATTCTCCATTTGTAGTATTTTGAAGGAGGTATCATGAAGGTCTCATGACATTGCATTTCCCCTTTGGGATGCCTTTTCTTTCTGTAGCAGTCTGTTTTTATAAAACCTTCCAGAAACTAACTGGGACCTCTTCACCACATGAAGTTTAGCTAAAATGGGAAGGTGGATTAAGAAGTTATTAGGGCACATGTGGGTATGTAGGGATACACAATCTGAACACATTGGCCCTGATTTTTATATAAAACTAGATAGAAAGGGAGTATAAGTGCAGAGGTGAAGGAATAAGCAAAAAGTAAAGGAGGGTTTTGGTCTAGTGATCACTGATTTATATCTAAAAATGTTCTAAACAGTTACAGTTTGAAAGTGAAAGGAAGTTTATGGGGTATCATATACTGAATGAAGTGGAGAAGAATGGATGTCATGTGTGTCCTGTGTGTTGAATATTCCATTCTCATAATCAAAGGACGCTTTTGTGCTCTCTCTGAAAAGTCTGAGTTTGCAGCTTCTGAAATTTGCTCCTGTTGCAGGTGTCTGTATCTTCTACATTTGAATTTGAATGTACGGAAGTAAAAGTTCATAATGCGTAATACACCTGCTATCTATTGTCTATTTATTTTAAATATTATTTTGATAAAATGGACAAAGACAGCGGTTCAGCCCTTGCAGTGGGAACAAACGCTTTGAGCAGTGTTTTTCAGCATACATTTTTACCAAGGGCAACCAGAAGCGCTGTTGGATGGTACCCCTGCCAGTGCTCTGAACTTCCTCTCCACAGATCTACTCACCTGTGGAATTCAAATGTCAAGTCCCACCAGGCAGTAACTGCACCTGTGATGTCTACTGATAATACACTGTGCACACAATACAATAATTATCAGGAGAAGAGCAGAAAATGGATTGAGCAAATATTTTTGCCTAGGGGGCAGAAATAATATTAAGTCAACCTGACATAAATCTCCATACAGGAACTGGAGCTTTCTAGTGAAAAAAAAAGAAAAGGAATACTATTCATTCCATTTAAAATCATTTTTGTTTCAACCTCCAAAGTCCAGTGTAACCTTTTACGCAGGAAATAATACATGCAGGTATATTTCTAGAGGAGGCATCTTTAAGAAATAGAAAGTTGAATAACATTGTTTATAATACTAAAAAACGTTTCCTCTTTTGCAGCTTTTCAAAGGCTTTCAGTTATGCTTAGCTTGACTTGTCTTTCACTGTAGTGTGAAGAACGAGTATTAGCTGAAGTATAGAAAGGCAGTGGTGTGAAATGACAAGCAAAACCAGAACTTATTTGTCCCTTTGTCTTGAATGCAATATAGATGGCCAGAGAATGTATTAGGCTGGGAGTGGGAGAGAAGACAATAACTATTTCACAGGAAAATGTGAAATGTGAAAGAGAAAGGGTGGTTGCAGGTTCAAAAAACAAAAGGAAAATCAAAGGACAAAGCAAATAATAAGGGGAAAGAAGTTACTCAGGAAAAAGACAAAGGAAGCAAGAATTGAAAGAATTTAAAACACTGGGTACATACTTTTGCTAATACAAATAATCATAGCTTTGCTGCCTTCACTCGAACTCTTCCCATTTATGCCAGCAATATGTAGCACAATGGACAAAATCACTCTGGAATGGAAGACACGATCAAAAAGAAAGAAGAGGGTGTGGAAGAGAGAGCACACCACATTTAGGTCATAGAATGTAATTTAATTTATGTTCCAGAAACACACATGTATTTCCATAACAGATGCTTTTGGGTATCTAAGTTTGGGTGAAAGGGATGGGATGGCTGGTTATTTTGAGCACTTGTTATATTGCTATTACTAGATAATGACCCTGGATTATGTAGTTAAATATTAGAGTTGTCATGGTTGCTAGCTATAGCTTATATTCTTAGCACTGGCTGGTTTTCTCTTTTTCCTCCCCCAGACAATTCTAATATAACTCTCCAGAAAATATCATTCGATCACCACCTGGTTTAGGATCATTCCTTTTCTTTGCCATGGATATGATTTGTTTCCTTCTTTTACATACATTACAGCAGACATGCAGTGGAGATGTCTGCTTAATTTTGTGGCATCCTTCCATATGCTTTAGCACGCTCTCATGACCATAGGACTGATTCTAAGGTCTCAAGTCCAGATGGTTTCTCCAGGTACACTATTTCTGGAGTGTCTTTTGGAACGCTCTTGGGACAAGTAGTCTTCAGACTTCCAGGTACTGCAGAGAAAGATCGGTATGAAACATAAAGGCAATTTTTTTATCTTAATAATTTTCCCATTCTAGACCTGATTTTTCATCATCATGCCAAGCAGTGGAAATTACAATTTTATATATAGAAAGAGAAACCTCAGCTTGCCCAATTGCAGTGATGAATACTTAAGGAACTTTTATGTGCTGGCATAGAATCATAGAATCATAGAATAATTAGGGTTGGAAAGGACCTTAAGATCATCTAGTTCCAACCCCCCTGCCGTGGGCAGGGACACCTCACACTAAACCATCTCACGCAAGGCTTCGTCCAGCCTTGCCTTGAACACTGCCAGGGATGGAGCATTCACGACCTCCCTGGGCAACCCATTCCAGTGCCTCACCACCCTAACAGGAAAGAATTTCCTCCTTATATCCAATCTAAACTTCCCCTGTTTAAGTTTTAACCCGTTACCCCTTGTCCTATCACTACAGTCTCTAATGAAGAGTCCCTCCCCAGCGTCCCTATAGCCCCCTTCAGATACTGGAAGGCTGCTATGAGGTCTCCAAGCAGCCTTCTCTTCCCCAGGCTGAACAGCCCTAACTTCCTCAGCCTGTCTTCATACAGGAGGTGCTCCAGTCCCCTGATCATCCTCGTGGCCCTTCTCTGGACTTGTTCCAACAGTTCCATGTCC